CCCATACTGAAATCGGTTTCCGAATTTGTGCTGGGTCGCAAGTGGGACTTTGCGACCCAATCTGAACCCAAAGGCGAATGGAGAGGACGAATCCCTAAAACCATCGGTTTGTTCAACAGACGGTCAGTAGCTTTCAAGCCAGATGACGAAAGTCGAAGACTTGGAACCTACAGTCATCATCATCATCATCATCATCAACAGCATGGCATCAGTGTTCAACACCGATGCTTCATTGCCGTACAAACATGATTTATTTAAAAGCCTTATTGTAACGTCCATTACTTTGACAATTGAAATTCCCCACGTTTCCTCTGTCCCTATTTGTAACCCCCGCCCCACTTTTGTGTTTAGTGTGTGTATATGAACTGACGTTTGTTTGTCCTTACCACTTCACCCATTTGGCCTTGAGGTCATCCAGCCATTTGTGGCCGACCTTATCCACGTGTGTCTGTCTCACGTGGGAACCTGTTTGCTCATTCTGTTTGTCCGTACTTTTGTAGTCCAAGTGAACGATTTGTTGTGGACGAGTATATACTGTCGAGGTTTGTATATATCGTGAACCGACGTCTTATTTTAATAGTACCGTATAGAAACCCAACTCCGACTTTGTTCTGCCTTGCCGGAGGTTCTGTTATTACGCGTCACTCGGAAATACCGTTTGCTTGTTACACTTATTGTAAGGAGAAAAATAAAGGTGGACGGGAAATGGACTTAGTGCCAGCTTACTACAATCATTCCGAGGTGCCCACACCTCCAGACATTCTCTCAAGCAATCTGGATAGAAACTGATAACACGAACGCCACTGACATCGGTTGGCGGCCATATCTTGTGGCGTCTCCAACCAAGCGCAGTGGAGATCACGCGGTCCCCATCCTGGAAGGCGAGTATCACCGACAGCACCCAAGCGTTTCGTAATCTCCTTCATACTCCTATGTCAAGTTAAGGGTTGGCCAGCTGAATAGTAACCCCACCCTGAAGTGGGCATGGAAAACAGCACTCTCTTCGGCAAACGATGTTTCGGCATACGCAACACACGTCTCAACCAACGCAGCTTCAGTATACAGGGACAATGGGCCGCCCGAAAATATCTATTCGTGTCAGTCAGTAATCAGTTTGGTTTGAATAAAGGTGATCAGTCCTAATGCTGTTCCGGAATTCTAATTCTGAAATGTTTGGAGTGTTAGAGCGGGAACACCCAAATGCGACCAAGTAAACAGTCGAACTGAATGTGAGGTAGCTTTGTAGACTGCCAGATAAATATCAAATCTTCACGGTACCCTGTAGTGAAGTAGGACGCACCATTGTACTATCACACGGTTAAAATAGATCATTTGAAATCACTGCTGCTGGCTTTTGCCAACCAGGGGACCAATGATTTATCAGTCCAAGCCGAATAGCATGGACACAGATCCAGTTAGTTCCGTCGCCATGTCAGTAACTGCAAGGGTACCGTCGCGTCAAACCTGCAAATGGAACTGGCAGGTAAATGCTCGTACCACATGAAATTGATGCAACAGGGAATCTTCACCCCCCCCCCCCCCGGGGGGGGGGAGAGAGAAGTCCCCCAACCAATGAGAGGACAATCCCCTCGGTTCTAAAAATTTCACTATGCAACCGCCTTCAGAGAATATCCAGTAAGAAAAGACATTCAACTGGTGTATGTGTACTTTAGCTTGTTTTGTCAACCCAAATTGGTCAAACATGATCAATACTGACAAGAGAGAATAGGAGACTAAGGATCTGCATCAGAATTTTCCCCCGTAATGGTCAGTGAGTGGAAAAAAGGAACCCTATCTGACCTCGCTAAGGTCAAGGCTGTCTAGATATATAGTGAGATCCACCTAGGACTGGGCTACGCATTTGGTAACATTTCTGGTCCCGTTAGAACTGAACTGATATCATCGGAATAGCATTAGTAAACGAGCAACTGCATTTACAAAATTGCCACGTGGATCACTAAAAACCCACGAAGGTAGCTGGCATATGCCATTGAAGTGACCAATAAAAGCAACAAGAAAACTCAGGATGTGACTATGAGACACGGAGCGGTGTCACCGTATGTACATGTGTGGTACAATTCCACTAGGGTCAGTAAAGTTAGGAAATGATCAGACATAAACCGGTCAATCCGAGAACATTGATGAGAGCGTTCTAAATTTTCTGTCGAGAATACCTAATCGTTTTCGCAGAGCAATCACTACACACTTGAGAGAGGCGTGTCGGGTGCTCTCTCCGAAGCGGGACAATAGTAGTAAAGAAGTTTCTGAAATTATTACCGCCGTAATATCGCCAGCGATGAGAATGAGTTGGTTGCGACTCAAAGACAGGGATGAAACAAATCATAATGACGAATACGAGTCACTTATTTACACAATGGTGACTAACCTTTCCCGGACAGGAGGTTGAAAGCTGACGGAGCGTATTGGCCAAATAGATTCGTGGATCGGCGATGCTTGAGCACAGCTCAGGAGGGAATCGCTGCACATGGAGATGACTTACCAAGTTACATCCGCATACCACCACCAATAGAGATCCCCACTAGAAGTTGATGAAAATCAATTATACGTCGGTAGTACGGTTTGGCGGAATCTGACTACTCATCAACAGCTGAACAGATCAGTGTCCCATACTGAAATCGGTTTCCGAATTTGTAAAACAGCAGAAGAGGATTAAGTTGATACTTCAACATCTGCTTGTTACATTCGGGGATGCAATCGAGCCTACTCAGTATCTGTGGCCTATCGAACGTGGTCCACAGGCGCGAGCGAGAGGTTCGTGGACTCTTATTAGACTAAGTCAAATGGTTGGCTGGCGTCTGCTCTCGAGTTGGCAAATGGCACTACAAAAGGTTTGTGCTGTTTGTCCGGTGTGAATTTGGACAGATAAGATTGGAGGGTGAAACGGAGAAGGACCGCAAGTGCATGCAAAAAGCTTCCTCTCATGAGACGCATTCTGAGCACAAACGCTGGGGGCTATCACTCATCCAGATCTGCACAACATCTGCCATCCCCGGCACCGTTGTAGGCTAATTGAAAATAAGCTGGCAGAATGGAAATAAACCATCACCTAAGAAGCGGAGGGCCATTTCGAACATCCCCTCCCCCCACAGATGATTCATTAACTGTGACTGGAAGTTGATCACAGAACCTTCCCAGATGTCTTACTAAGAGTGATGTCACCTAAACACGCACAGCGCGGCAGTTTAAAGAACAGAAAAGTAATCATCTTGTCTTGCTCAGTAGTGTAGATAGAACTCAAGCGTGACATGGCATTCACACAATACTTGCTACACACATGTCCGAACAAAGCGGAAAGGTTACGTGAAGTATCTGGGGCCAACAAAGATACGTAACCGGAACTGATAGACAACGACTGTATTTCAGTAAAGCATATACAACTTCGACGCTTATATTAACAGTGCGTTGATGGAACCTACTGGACACGCCGGTTTCAGGTTCTATGANCAATGGATCCAACAGAAGCTTGGTTCAGGAATGCGACAGCATCGTCTATTGCAGGTTCGCCAGCACGTCCTGGACCGGCTTCCACTCCAGCGACAATACGACCAACCAGTGGGGCCCATGAATCCATGTAGGGTGCATTTCCAGAAAAATCCATGAGTGCACTGGCTTCTCCAATAAACCGGATCAAGCCAACGCTAACCTGGTGCCACTGGATACGACATGCGCTGATGCTCGAGGCGTTCTCTAGGATGCGAAAAGTTGTGGAGCGAAGTAGAAAATCAATTAGTAAACGAACGAAAAAGAGCCTTAGATTGGAAATGATTGCAACCCTGAAGTTAGTCGCCTATTCCCGGGACTTAAACGTCGAACACAAGGGGAAAATGTTGACAATATCCTGGTGTGATGACGTGACCACGTACGTTAAACATATAAACGTGAAAGTGGGGAATTTCAACAACACCGCACGAAGACGGCTGGTGAAGTGTTGAAGTTTGACTTGCAAAATGACATTTAAAAGACGAGTGAAGAGTTACACACGAAAGCCACCGAATCCCATGGTTTCCCTTTTCGGTGTGGGCGACCGAAAGTAGTTGCGGGGACTGACTGGCTAAGCGAGAGCGAGGTCGAAACCTACAAATGTGACACATTCTTTCCATGCAACCTAACAGGTAACTTGTACATCCAGTGTAAAAAGACAAGAGAAAAGAGAGTTTATCGTTGAGCAGAGACGAAGTAGTAATGTAGAGACATGACACAAATATAACCCTGAAAGGCCAGGGGGGCTATGAACCGGCCTCAAAGACAGTCAGGCATTTGGTGACCGCAGTTCACCCAACTGACCACAAACTAGCCTTCGGGATCACCCTGTCCCACCGGAACATTTGGCTAACAGCTACCAATGAGGCGCTCCTGATCATGCTATTTGCACAGACATCTGGTGCGCTTCTCTTAGAATCGACCTCGCATGACATCGCATTTGTGCAACTCCCCTTTCGGAACATGTCCGTTTAGTATAAAGTATGTAAAATTAAATAAGTAAAAAAATAAACAAATAATTGTGCCTGTCGGCTGACGAAACCAAGGCAACGGTTAAAATTTCACTAACTGTGCCTTCTTGGTTGAATAGAACAAGTCAATGCTTCGAAACGTGGAGTGCGTAACTCATTCATCTTGTCCCCCACAGTTGAGGTTGCTTTGAACAGCATTTTATGCGTCTTCACAGTTGATTGCAGTACGAAGAAAAGATGACCAGCTGAAGTTGTCTTGAGCACCACAGCAATTAGCAGATAAGTGCATTTGGTGTACACTGTCTTTACAAGTGGAACGTAAAAAATAAAATCATTCAGCTCTAACACCCTTGTGGCGCCTAGCTGCCATGCCACTCGAAGGAGGCACGAGGGCTTGGATACTGCCAGATTGCCCAAACCTAGACAGGGGAAGTCGAGAGGCAGAGGCTGGGTCTCGACTTCCCCTGTCTAGGCTTGGGCAACCTGGCAGTATCCCAGCTCTCGTGCCTCCTTCGTGTGGCATGGCAAGTGGAACATAAGGCTGACTGAAGCTGGGGGACTGGGCCTGCAGCATGAGCGAAACCGTTAGTGAGCTATCCAAGGGTTTTCATCTGCCAGGAAGACATGCTTCAATATCTTGGATATCATACCCACCGAATCATGAGGCAGTTTTTCGCAGCACATTCAGTCGAAGAGATTCGGTCGAGCACTAAACTAATTCGTACACGAATAGATTTCACAAATTCCTTGCAGTTCGGTGTTTGGATGAGATTTCGGCTGATGAAAACCTTAGCGCCTACCTGACTGGCCAAAAAATTGGATGTCGAGGAGCTCTCAGCAACCTCATAGGAAATCACAAAATGTTTTATTTGTTTTACTAAATCCACCAACCAATCGTTGGTGGACCACCGCAAGAAAGCAGGCAGAGACAAGATGACCGTGTGATGCGGGAAAAGTCGGTCGCCTCGACAAAGCGCTCGATGCGGTTCATCTACCGGATAAAGCAGTGGTTACTCATAATTCATAGGTGCATCTGGGATTGTGTTCCGTTAAGAGTCTATAGTGATTTGACGCAGACTAGTAGGCAGTCGTCCTCGGGTTTTGGAAAAACCAGACACCGCAGTAAGTGCACCCTGGATATACGGTGAAACGTGAAACTCTGTCGCACTTGCTCATTCTGTTTATATGGCTTGTTTGTTCTTGAGCCGCTAATTGTGGACTCATGCCGTTGTCGTTCTTCTTGTGGGCACAAGAGAGACGAGCCTCGTGTCTCCAGAAAAATCACTTTGCATTTTACAGCCTTCACGTGATCATCGCGTTGTCACCACTAGGCTCGGTATATTAAGCGAGCACGCAACAAAAACCTGTGGATCTTTAAACATGGTTGAACGCGTTTACAAAGAATTCAACAGTGCGGAGTGTCCCGCCGTCAGTTAAAGCAGGCGATACAGTAAGCTGGCAAAATGCGGTCGTGGAAGCTCGTTGAGGACCGGAACTACTCGATTCCAAGTGTCCACCCAAGCGTACAGCCTGTCACTTACATGGGTGGATCCAGCCGCACACTTACCAATGTTCATGAGACCTCTAGCAATGACTAATGTTAAGGAATTCAGTGAGTGTTACGGTGATACACCCCCAGACAGCCAAGCGATCAACTAAGGTCTATATACGTCTTCACGACAGAAAGATTCAAACAGATTCTAACAAAAATTAGAACAGGGTCACATAGCTAACAATAGTAATCTTTCTTGAGTTAAGAGGTAATTCCAACTTTGCTGAATGTCAGGCACCACATGGTGAACAAGGATGTCCCATGCAACCCAGTTGAAAACGCTGACAATTGTGCGGTCCACGACAAATCACTATTCAGAGGACATTCGATTCCAAGCTATCATACTCTGTTTCTCCTGATTCTATTCCCAGTATAATAGGTGGAGGAATCCAGTACATCGCAAGTAGAGTAATCCTTAGCGAGGGAAGTTCCCACCAGGGACCATACATTTGCGGAACTCACTGCAGTGATTCGTATCAGTCAAGACCCGGTGTCTAATCAACCTATCCAGCGTACTTGCTGGAGAGTGATGCTCACGGTTTATAGCTGATGAAGGTAATTATAGTCAAATCAGGTACCATGCACAGGGCGATTAATCCCGAATTAATTTGAAAAAGATGAAAAATAACACTTTACAAGTTTACATCTATTTGAGTCTCTCTTTCTCTTATAAGTTATAAAAAGAGTCATTGGTAGGAGAATAAAATCGTTCAGCTGTAACACCCCTTCCGTGCCATGCCACCCGAATGAAGTACGAAAGCTGGAATACCGCCAGGTTGCCCGACCCCCAGACAAGGGAAGTCGAGAGGCAGAGGTCAGATTCGGAGGACGGACCTTCCAGTTACTAAATTCGCGATCTAACCATCAGGAGAACACGGATGAGGTAATGAATAGGATGGACATGTGAATCAGAGCTGAATAGAACACTTACTCCCTGTCCCGAATCCGNAGGGTACCGGCATGGATATAACGGCTTCGGTGTAGGAAAGAAGAACCTTTTCCAAAACACGAGCAAACAAACCAGCCTGTATCCCATCCACCAATTGAATCAGCTCGTTGGGAGAGTAGACCAGGACAAACCGTGCGATGAACGAGACGAAGGCTGATGTGGGAGTGGGCAATGCAATATGAGAAAGCCTACACTAGGGGGTTGTAGTAATCCAGAACAGAGCCTATCCTAGGTACACATCAGATTACCACTGTACGAAGAATCGTGATCTACTGTATGTTGATCAGGTGGTATATGATCTGTTTGCCAACCCTACAATCCGCGAGATATCGTACGTGCTCCCAGCGGCGCACTGAGGATGCCTATTCGCACGGTGACGAAACGTTTGCGAACCAACAACAAGCTCGGTGAATTGATCAGCTGCCACCTGATCAACAGCCTAAGAACACAACACGCCCGGTTGACACAGGTTTGAGAGTTGCGGTATAAGATCATGGTTCAATTCAACTCAATTCAATTTATCACCTATAAATCGTGTGTCATAGACACACTGATTCATCCAATGTTATTAATCACTAGTGATTTGAGTCCTGGGGTCCCCGTCCAGGGAGGCGGTAGTTACCAAGCCGACTAAGTTTACTGATTAGTGTTTTCGTGCTTCGTTGCCTTACCAGGTCATACACTGTCCACCTCCAGGTCGCTTCCACTCAGCACAAGGCTGGGCGAAAAGAGCTCTGCGAGGCACACGGTCTTATGTCAGGCGGAGTACATGTCCTTACCAGCGCAACCTATGAAGCGTGAGTAATTCATCTATCGCGGGAGAGTTCCTTCTTCCTAGGACCATCTGGCGTGCCTCAGCATTACTAATGCGATGTTTTCACCAGACCTGACCAATGCTTTCGGAGACACCGACGATCAAACACTGACATCTTGAGTATGTCCTCTGCGCGTAGGGGCCACGTCTCTGATCGCACCTTGACAGACAAACTCACGTCACGTCGGCGCCATAGGTATCGGAAGTTGACAAAAGCTGCTCTGGCCTTTCGGATTCGATAAGTAATCTCATCTCCAGCCAGTCCACCGGAACGTATACAACTGCCCTCGTAAGCAAATTTATCTGCCGCGTCGACTGGCTTACCTGCAAGCATGAGGTGTATGAGATTATAGGATTATGGTACAGGCCGACTCATGTTGGACCGTCGGCCCGGTGCGACTCAAGGGCAGTGTTCCACCCCATGGAGAGGACATGGATACACCGCAATCGGGCGGGTCGTGCAATAGACGGTCCCTTCTGGAATGGGACTACTAACAACCGAACTTACGTGGAAGTTTATTTTAACGAGAAAAAATAACGCGTCTTTCTTCTTTTATCACTGAGGCCGGAAAACATACACAAGTCAGTTGTATGAATAACCGAGGACGTAGAAGGCTTTCAGTCGAACAAAGGCGAGAGATGCAGCGTGATGATGGGTCCGAATAAGGTCGGAAAAAATATGCCGTCGACATAAGCCAGGGACCGAAGCAGACCTCCGAATCCCCACATTTCTTACTGAAAAGTGCTTGGTTTGCGCTATCCAGAAAGCATCGGTTGAATTTGTGAGGGACACTCTTCAGGGGATTCGGCGTGAGACCGACGAAAGTGGGTGAGTATTTTTGTTATCTCATGGGGAACTTAAATCGAATTAGGACTCAAAAGTAATGGTCTTACATGATCCTATACTTCAACAGGAGCTTCAGGTAAATCAGATGAAGCAGTGTCCTCTGAAAATTATCGCTCGAAGAGGGGAAAAGGCCACGTGAAGCGGCTTGTCTATTCCGCCATGGAAGACGACAAAAGCCACAAAGCCGAACCCAAGCAAATGGCTGTGGCCAGCCCCTAGACAAGTTAGGTTTGGTGTCGGAACGAGTTTCGTAAAAAAAAACACAAGTGTTCCTATTGGGCACGCAATCTTTCACGAAAGTCTATCAGAATCGGAATGCCTACAGAATAGATGGGCCAATTGCTGAATTTCTCCAGGCAGCCAAAAATTGATCAGCAATACCTAATGGCATTTGAGGACAGCGACTGCGACCAAATAAGTATCACTAAAGCATCTCAAATCCAGCCCAAACTCTAGCAAAACCACTTGTCCGCTGCATGGCATGAAGCTATCGAATGAAATGATTAGAACATCTAAGTGGGCAACATGCGCCCACCAATCCAGTTTCTATTCCATAGACCATTCCGAATTCGCAGTTTCGACAAACGTAACAATTAAAAGACTCCTAGATTTGAGGAAAAACTTTGTTGGGATATCGATAGTACGTTAGTTGATAAGCCAAACCAAACACTCGTTCTCTAAGGGTTCGCTGCCACCAGTCTACACAAAGCATGGTTCTGAAACAACGGTTGTCGAAGACCTGAGAGTATCTCAGTTATGCCACTCAAAAACACCACTTCTTACAG